TAATTGTGTGTGCTTCGAGAATTTGTGTAAATTGATTAGTTATTCGACCCAGAGAGAAAACCAATTCGACAGCTCTCCATGTTTCAAAAGGCGAAACACGAACTTAGTGGAAATCGAATAAAGTTTAATTAGTGTGTGCTATCCTAAGAAATTATTGTTCCATTCAGAAAGAACTTGGAAATGAAACACAATGATCAATTTTCTATTTATAGGATAGACTCAAGGATAGGTAAATATAATTGAAATTGGTAATTGATTGTGACTCTCTGACATTTCGACGGTTCGACAAAAAAAATCGGAACGGTATAGAATAGAACAAAACATTTTAATTTGCTTAATTTTAAAAAATGGATACAATCAGCCAAATTGAATCCTGAGCCACCTAAGCTAATTTTTGTTACAACCATTTCAATACAAAAAGGTAGAGCTCGACTTAGATGTACGTCTCACTGAACTTCTGAACTTCATATTTGACGTGACAGGTTTTGCCGCCTTCTTGTGACACCGGGTTGCCAACCATAGAATTATTTACACGTACATATGCAGCAAAAAGTCTCGCAAGCTAGCTGTTCACACATCATACTATACTATGAAAAGAAGCATCTAACGTAGGCTGACATAACTAACTTTATTGACAGTTTACTTTTTTATAAACTATTAAACATGCCGCCACCCAAGAACGAATTTGTCCTTTAAATTAGGATTCTATGGGTAATAAACATATTTTTGTAATAGGCCTTTTGAATATGCTATTATTACATTTTACCGTAACAACTCTGACTATCCCATCGTTCAATTTGCAATAATCGTTTGACAGCAAGAGATCTTGTTTGGTCGAGCGGTGTGCCATTATACTTTGAAAATGGTAGTGCTACAATATAACGCCCTGAGTCGGTGCGAGAATGTGTCTTCAAATATCTCCTCACACTCTGTTTCACTTGCAGTCTGTATACGGTTTTTGGTGAATAGTTGTTCAGATTCCCAGAATCGCTGTAATAACTCATCTGTCTCAAGTTGGCTGTGCATTAAAACAACTTCTCTAATTTCTGTGTGCTTTCCTTCAACTTTTTCTGAAATAAACCAAACAAGAAGCGAATTCTGTGCAATTACTGAGCCATATTTTTTAACCCATCCTAAATAATCTAAGCATATATTTCAGCCCCCAACAAAAGATCAATACGACTAGGCTTTGAAAACGTAGGATCTGCAAAAGGCAATACTTGATGACAAATTCAAGCGCATCTCTTGGCGTGGCATTATCGAAGAAAGTGACTTCAATACATGATCTTCTACATTAACTATCGGCGTTTCATTGTATAATGCAAAAATTTCAAATCCTGCAATCTCTTTAGAAATCATCAATAGTTTTGAATCGATTCCTGTTACTTTGCTGAAATGACGCTCTGTACGTAACCCAAGTCTCTGAGCAGCTGATATTCTAATGAACGATGCTTGTAACCCTTGGTCAATCAGCGCTCTCAATTGATACTTCTTGCCATCATTACCTATAACTCGAACCATGGCCGTAGCTAGTAAGACCTGTGTATTAGTAATATCAGTTGTGTGGACAGCCAGCTTGGAAGTGTCCTTTTCTTCTTTATCCTCCTCATGCTCTTTCTTAACTTGTGTAGCATGAGTTCTGAGAGCTTTTAATAGGAATTCAGATGTAAAAGAGAATGATGACGTCGTTTGCATTTTTTGCAAGATACTAAACTGCTTACAAATTTAACACTATGCCCAGGTACAAGACAATTGAAGCATAGTTGATTCTATTGGATGACATCTCTACGTGCTTCTGGGCTCAATTTCACAAACTCCTTGCAGTTGTAGATGTAGTGATCTTTCAAACAAAACGAACAGATAACTTCGATGTCCGCTTTGAAAAATGTAATTGATGGTTGATGTGTAACAACTTCCATCTGTTGTGTAGCGCTCAAAGCTTCCAATGATCTGAAACTTACTTCCAAAAAATCTAACAACTGTTTTGTAGTTATCTGTAGTCCCTGCTAACTGTTGTTCCCATAAATGTTGTTTATCATTGTCAAACTTTGCTATAACGATATGTGTGATAAGAGGATCCCAGTTTGTTGTTGTTACGCCAACATTATTATGTGCGTTCAGTATTTCATTCGTGGTGTGTAATAATGCGCGTAACCCTTTGGCTGACTCTAACGTAAGCTTCCTTTGATTAAGTAGACGTGTGATGTGCGAATGTACTATAAGTCTCTTGTTATCATACCTTGACTTCAATACTTCTAATGCTTTCTCATAGTTCGCTTCTGTTGATGGAAACTGCTTTAATAAAATCCCTGCTTCGCCCTTCAAATTACTTTTCAGGTAATGAAATTTCTCTATGTTAGACAATTGTGTATTATTATGTATCAACGACTTGAATAAATCATAGAAGCCTGTCCACTCATTGTAACTTCCTGGAAAGGCAGGTATTTCAATTGTTGGTAACCTTAGTGCTTTGCCTGGAGCTGTGGAGACAGGAACTTCTCCCTTATTCATAGCAGTCGAAGAGTTTAAAAGTAATTCTTCTAATTTCTCTTTCATCAAAGTCTTAAACTCGAGATAGACATCTTCAAAACTATAGTATGTATCTTCTTGAAAATATTTTAAACTTTTCTTTTCTTCTTGCGTTGCCTTTGTTGTAATGTCAAGATGGTTGTTATTGAATAACTGGAACTCTGTTTCAAATAATTCTAATCTCTTTTCGATATATGATTAATAATTCTTGCTTTCGATTTCTTGAAATTAGATAAGGCTTTAGTAATGTGTAATGAGATTTCGTTTTGCGTAATAATTACTTCTTGTAAGGACATTTTTCTTTCAGTTACTTGACGCAATAAAATATTACTCTTCGTTCAACTTACATTTTTCATATATACAGGTATGAATAATAGAGAAAAGGAGAGTATATTCAAAATAATTTTCCTTTATACTCTTTCAATAATAGAGGAAAGGGAGTTTAATCAAAATATTTTTTCCATTATACTCTTTTCCAACTGTCAAATAATTTCCCTTTTAATATGTATATTTCTTGAAATCTATATAATATTTACGACTTACAATATCCAAATATTTGTTTTATCGTCACTTATTCAAATCCGGCGAGTCATGGACCAAATGTTCACACATCACACTATACTACGAAAAGAAGCATCTAACGTAGGCTGACATAACTAACTTCATTGACAGTTTACTTTTTTATAAACTACTAAACACTAGCTGTCACACGATTTGCATGGTGTCGCCGACTCGAGAGGTCCTCGGTCGAGGGCATATAATATCCATTTGAGTGCTTCCTTTACGTGCGCTGCACAAACGGTTAATGTTACACAAAAATCATGTACGACGGAATAGTTCCCCTTTAATGTTTCTTTCAAAAAGACTGCGATAGCACAGTTATGTTTAATGTCGACTCACTGTAACATTTCTCCTCCAATTAAAACGGGTGAAACCGCAGGGCACCTCCAATAATACATATTCACACAAGGACATATTATGCAAATATTTCACGAAATATGAGTTTTATTTTAATATACAGCTGGCTGTACACGGAGAATTTTGATAAGTAGTGAATGTTTTATCTTATCAATATAAAATAAAACATGGAATTATTCTATCTGTTGCAAGATAATGATTAATAATGGATGCATAGTTAGTAGTGTCTTTACTTAAGTAATTAAGGTGATTATAAAATGATTAGTGATTATACAAAATGAGTTATTGTAGTGTAACGGTCTATTTCTATATGACTGGCATTTTAGTCGTCACGTCAACAGGCGACCTACATTAAGATTAGTGCACTATGAGCAAATTTTTTATTTGGGTCTGTAATATTGGTTTCACCTTTTTTTTTTTTTTTTTTGTGACGAGGGGAAATGCAGTTACGCACCATACCGTGACGCTGACTAGGCGCACGGCGTGTGTGGGACTCGCCGGCACGGGAAACAGTGCCGACCCTACTCAAGCAGGACCAGTGCGGAAGGCCACACTGATCCTACTCCACTAAACCCCCCGGTACCCTCCTACGCCCATATGGGGGCGTCTCAGGATCGACGCACCTTAGCGTGCGCCACTTCACTGGGACGTCCCCGGGCCGGCCCGGCCCAACGAGTGGACCGGGCGACGCGCCTCAGGGAATATTGGTTTCACCTAATATATGTGGATTGTATTATAAAGTTTATTTAAGGTTAAAGGCCCGGCGGCCACTGTGACCGCTACGCCCATGTGCATCACGCACCCTGCTCCATAGGTAAAGTGGCCACCGGCGTTAAATGAACTGCACTCGACTCGATTCCTTTTTGAAAGAAGGGCGATTCAAAATTTGTATATTTTTTTTAAATCATAATGCAAGAAGAATATATTTTTTTGCTTTAAAATCAAAAGTTACAACTTTATATAACAAAACACTTGTTCTTTTTCTTTTGGCTTCACCCTAATTATATACCTAACTTTACACATTACAGATATTGGATAGCCATGGACCGACTAAGATATTTTTATGAGAAACAAATAAAATATTATATGTACTTAAAAGTGAATTTAAATAATAAATAAATTAATATTTCCATCACTCACACTAATTAGCCTAGCCCCAAAGTAAGCACTGTAGGCTTGTGTTATGGGATACTAGGGTAACGGATAGAACACATATACTGATACATATATAAGTATATTTATATAGAAATACATATTAAACATTCATGACTGGAGTACAAATGCTCGTATTCGTCACACGAACATCTGCCCCCACCGGGATTCGAACCCGGGACCTCCCGAGTAGGCGACACCTTGAAACAAACCACTCGACCACAGAGGTCGTCAAATCGAGGAAGTATAATTATATTCGACAAAATAAAAAAAAAGAAGTTCCATGACAATATGTATTGTATGTAATGAATTTATCAACAAACATAATTATTAATGATATTGACACATCTTTAACTGCAAACTATTTTTTCTCTGCATGGGTATTACTATTGATAATATTAAATTTTATATCATGTGCATTAGACTTTAGAATTGTACTTATATAAGATAGCGCGATCCAGATAACATATCTCATTGAAATTTGTATTTTTGCCTTTGAAGTAATGGCGGACTGTATAAGTGACTGTGTTGAAATATCCAACCATAAAAATGACAATAATGTGGCACCGAACATCAACAAGTGCATCAAGCGAATAGCACAGATAGAAGGCTTTCAAGACTATAAAGTAGAGGTTCAAGACGTTTCAACTGATGGTGGAAATTACATGGCAATTCTTCAAACGATAAATATCAAAGGAAAAACTGAAACAGCTAGTAAAGAAATTAGTCTTTTTGTAAAAAATAAATTTCAGTCTTTACAAGACAGTTTAACTACATTGGACGATTTTTACAAACGAGAAGTTTTCTACTACAATGAACTATCAACGATATATGATGAATTACAAGACGAAGTGAATATTCCAATTGACGAAAGATTGAGAAGGGCGAAAAGCTATAATGAGTCAAATTTGGAAGCCATCATCCTCGAGAATTTGAGTAAAAAAGGCTACACAGTTCGACCCAGGCTCGAGCCGATGTCTCTGCAATTTGCTGAAATATCGGTAAAACAACTTGCAAAATTTCATGCATTATCTTTTGTATTGAAATGTAAGAAACCAGAATATTATGAGATGAAAGTAAAACCATTAAGTTATCCAGTAAAAGCTAGTACGGAATGGGAAGATTATATAGTCACTGCATGCGCTACTGCAGCCAACTGTCTAGATAGTGATTCAAAAGTTAGATTGGAAAATTTTAAGAATAAAATATTGAAAGTATATAAAGATTTCGTTAGTTCCCCGACTGACAAGTCAAGCTGCTTGTGTCATGGTGATTTTAGAGCTAATAATATGTTGGTGAAAGAAGAGGTATGTAAACAGTATATGGTTATGATATAATAAAAATATTTTGTTCATTTTTAAGGGTTCCGTAGACCTGACAAGGAACCTTTATAGTTTCGTCATGGCCGTCTGCCGTCCCCGGCTTTGCTTGGAGACTATTAGCATTATAGAGCTGTAGTTTTGTGGAGATATGTCTATCAATCACGCCGACAAAACGGTAGAATAAATTTTTAATCAATATTTTTTAAGGGTAGCTGCCCTACATGTAACCTGGGGATGATTTTACTTCATATACTCTACCATCGTGTGGGATATCGTTGAACAGATTATTTAAAATATTTCGAAGTTCCTAAGACTATTTTTCGATTTAGTATTCGTTTGCGAAATATTGAACTTTAAAGTGCTAATTTTTGTTCGAGTAGGGCGTCCCACTCCTCTAAAAGCTATTGACTTGAAAAACCTGGAAAAATTCATAGTAATAGTGCTTTTTGTGTTTTTTTAAGAAAAACTATAACGTTTAAGATAGATTTATTAGTTTAAGCGTAATAGTCGTTCAACTTTGGTTAAGGAAAATTTCTAACCTATTGAAATTCCTTAGAAGAAAACATTAATAGCGACAAAGATGAAGTTATTGTAGCGTAAAATCTTGCATTGCAACATATTCTAAAGAAAAGCATATTCTAAAAAAAACATATTTAAAGATCACAATAAAAAATCATTAGTACCACAACGCTACCGCGAGTACCAACGGCAACGGCTTCTGAGTCGCGCTAACGTTAAGTCTTTATAAAAAATACAAGCACTTAATAAGATCAGCGGTTAAACCGCTTCAGATGAAGCTTGTAAGGCCCATCTGGCCATAAGCATGAACCACGGATGTGTTTTTGTCAATAAGAGTCTGACATAACCTTGAGGCTGGCTCTAGGTTATTAGGAATTCCACAACTACTCCCCCTAGCCTTGGAGGAAACAAAAAAAATGCGGTTATCATTCGTATTTAAGAAAGAAAAAAATATGTAATTGATTTTGAGTTAAAGACGCAGTTTGGCTTTAATTTAGGTATTTTAGTTGAGATACATAAATTCATATTAGCAGATATTGGTTTTTCTAATTTCCGATAAAGAAAATAGAGACTCCTGCTCAAATATATTGTGGTAACTACAGGCAACTACGGAACTCTACACTGCGCGTGGCACGACACGCTCTTGGCCGGTTTTTTACAACAGTAACGTCAGTTACAAAAGTAAATTATAGTGGCAAACAGACGTGGAATATGCATTGTAGTAATGTGTCCGTATTGCTGAAAGCTGTTAATTAGTTGACAAAAATGGTGGAGTGACGCGTGACGCCTGTAAACAATGAAACATCAAAGCTGAATATTTTCAAGGAAATAATGAAAGAAAAAATTAAGGAAAAATGTTAAAGTTATTAATTATAAACATGTTGGAATTTTAGAATCGATCCGAAAACTTTGCTTGATTCATTTGATTTCATTCTTCTGAGATACCATTATATTTACAAAAACTTAGCGCAAATGTTTATTACTTTAAGCTTAGGGTCTCTGTTCAAGGTTATAGGTATTCTTCATTACGAACATCGCCACTCAACAGCCACTCTCACAACTAGCAACAGATTTCAAAAATATTCTCTAAATAAATTAGAAAGTAATAAAAACATCAATCTAATTCTTTGAGTTACAAATATGAAAACATAGATCACATTTTTGGGCCGCACTCAGATTTGTCATTTATAGATGTCTCATTTTGGGCCACGTGGGCCACACTTTCCCAAAAAATGGGATTAATAATGATAAGTTAGTTTCTTTACCTAATTTATTCGTACAATGAAGAATAATGTATGCATGCGTGCAATCTTTGATTTGATTCCTCTTGGGAATATTCATAGTTATGCAGACGATGGTACAGTGCATGCGAGATACTTTGGACACGCAGCGGCTGGTCAGGTAGAATCTTTACACTGAACTCAATCAGGCTTTGGACCGCATTACCTTTTGAGGGGTTCAATGCAAATAAACCCCAGATTTGCGCATTCACGGCAAAAACATCGCCATTGCTTTCCCTTCCTTCTCATTAGGTTGCAATACAGCGCTACAGAGCAATTACCATGCTCGTTATGGAAGTTCGCTCAGACCTGCATTTTGACCTGAGTGATCAAAACAGCTTCACGCAAACTCCTGTCCTCCTGAACCTGAACAAGGTGAGGTGGTTTTTCACGCCTGATCAACTGAGCTTGTTGTGCAAAACGCAAGTGAGAGTTTCTTTCTTTTCTTGACTTGATGAACGTCACGAAAATCACGTTGACAATTATTTTAGTCATTGTGGATTTTGATTTCCAGAGTGAGATCTCTGTGCAAAACGGAGAAACTATAAACAAAAATATTTTTTTTATAAATGTCATCTTTAATTTTAAAAGTCTCTGTAAGTACCGCAACCAACAGCTTAATGGAAAATTTAATCTGAGTTTAATACGTTATTGATATCCTTTATGTGTTATTCTGTACAAGACCTAGCACAAGCCCCATACAAATATGAAACGTCTCCTTTAAATGTTTTTAAAACGACGTGTTGACTTTTTCTATCGGAAACCGTGTGAGTGAAGGCATCAACATTAACCAATTTTCAAAATATTTTACATATCTAAGTGATGCAGAGGAAGTTCAAAAACTAAAGGATTTTTCCATTGATTTATTTTATTTAACACTAGCGGGTCTGAATCCCACTGGAACCTTATCGGGATAAAAAGTATTATCTGTCTCAATCCAGGTAATAAACTACATGCGTACACTATTACACACTATTATTTTTCGTTGGATTTTCATTGTGTGTAATATTAGGGATGAATTGAAAATTTTTAGACTTTTCATCAAGTATTTCTTTAATAATATTACATATTTGAGTTTTTAACAAGCATTTAATACTATCTTATCATTAAAATACTGTTTGTTTGCAGGGTGGTGATATAAAAGATCTGATTGTTGTCGACTACCAAACGATACGTTACGGGAGTCCAGTAACAGATTTTATTTACTTCATTTTCATTGGTTCAGATCAGAAATTCAGACGAGCCCACTTAGACGAGTTGAAGGAGTTATATTACGAAACACTGGAGAGATTTATGGGCGAGTTTGGAGTGCAAGTCCATGATGTCTATCCTAAGAAGCGATTTGAACAGGAATACCGGGACTACTTGGACGTGGGACTTACACTATTCTTAGTTTTAGCACCGTTTGTGCTGTGCTCCGCTGACGACGCACCCGACCTACAAAATGGTTCTGTTTCTAAAATCAATTTTAGCTATGACAACGCCGAATGTAAGGAGCGACTGCGCGGCATAGTTGAGGATTTCACACAGTGGGGATATTTGTAAAAGTTACTTACCAGAAAATCGACTGTTCGAATTCTTTTAGGTGTTAGTTAAATAAAGAGAACTTGGGGTGTTTTGTCAATATCTTTTTCGTCTTTAACTGTTATTGTTTTTTCATTCTTATATAAAATAGAAGTGTTATTATATTACTTTCTATTCTTTAATTTCAGAATAAATGTTTTTACCGCGATATCATTATTCATATCGTTTAGTTAGAGATTTCCTATTTTACGTATAGTATTTAAAACTTCCTTAAAAAGTCTTTTTAATGAGGTAATTATCATCTTATTAAATGAAGCTGGCGCCAGATGCTCAATTGGTAGATCCAGAACTTTCATACTTTTTTAATTTCGCAAACCAATTTTACGTAATGCAACCTATTCGACATTACTATGAGGTGAACTCAGTGTTACTAAATTATAAGCAAATATGGTGGACTCGGAAAAATCATTGAAAATTACGTTTTTATTAGTAAGCGTAGAAACTTAGTTGTTTTTTTATATATATATGATGCTTATTTGTAGAATGTAAATATTGGTAAGTTAACATCGTTAACATGTAGGCTTATGTAGTTGTTGTGTAATTGTGTGTACTTCGAGAATTTGTGTAAATTGTTTAGTTATTCGACCCAGAGAGAAAATCAATTCGACCGCTCTCCATGTTTCAAAAGGCGAAACACGAACTTAGTGGAAATCGAATAAAGTTTAATTAGTGTGTGCTATCCTAAGAAATTATTTTTCTATTCACATATAACTTGGAAATGAAACACAATGATCAATTTTCTATTTATAGGATAGACTCAAGGATAGGTAAATAAAATTGAAATGGTTATATTTGACTTTCTGACATTTCGATTACAAAAAAATGGGAAAGGTTTAGAGTAGAACAAAACATTTGTATTTGCCTTTTGCTTAATTCTATAAAATGCAAATTTTTAGATACAATCAGCTAAATTGAATCCTGACCCACCTTAAGCTAATTTTTGTTACAACCATTTCAATACAAAAAGGTAGAGCTCTGCTTAGATGTACGTCTCACTGAACTTCTGAACAATCATATTTGACGTGACAGATTTTGCCTAGTATATATGCAGCAAAAAATCTCGCAGGCTAGCTTTTACAAGATTTGCATGGTGTCGCCGACTCGAGAGGTCCCGGGTTCGAATCCCGGTGGGGGCAGATGTTTGTGTGATTAATACAAGCATTTGTACTGCAGTAATGGATGCTTAATTTGTATTTCTATATAAATATACTTATATATGTAAAATCTATGTATTATATCCATTACCCTAGTATCCCATAACAAAAGCCTTATAGTGCGTACTTTAGAGATAGGCTAATTGGTGTGAGTGTAATTAAAAAAATGTGTCAGTGTTTCTTTGTGTCTCTTCATGCTTGAATCGCTGAATCGATTTGAATTAAATTTGGTACTTAAATTGTTTAATTTCCTGAAAATGACCTAGGATAATCTTGTCCCAAAACTAATCCAGTGAGGAGAGGAAAATGGTGGTAAAAGTTTGTATGGGAAACTAAATTTAATTTAATTTATTTATTTACTAATTTAGTACACACAATAAAAAAAACATAAAATAAAAGGTCGTCAGTGTGTGCCTCCTGAATAAAAATAACAAAATACAATACTTACATAAACAAAACCTACATATATATCTACATAGACATATTAAATAACATATATACTTAATTTGTGAATATTAAAATTATTTATTATTTTTAGCTTTTTTTTTCTTACCTTTGGAAAAGCTATTATAAAAGCCTTGTTTCCCGCTTCGTAACGCAACCTACTTTACGACTTCCACAGAGATAACGAGACGATTTTCTTAGTGTCAATAATAAACTGATAATAATCGAGTGTAAATACCAAATTAACTTCATCTTTATGTTTTTTTTTTCTAAGCATTTAACTGCTAGATGTCTAAATCTAAAGAAAAGTTTACTAGAAAAAAATCCACTCGGACCAGGCAGCGGACGGGGCTCGAACCCGCACTCCGGGCGAATGCACTGACCATTATGCTACCACGGCCCTATTCGCCGCGTCGAAATTTTCCTAGCCTTAAGCTGCAAGGCAGCGCCATCTCTTCGCATTGTATAATACTTTTTCAAGTATTAAACATTTGAAAGAAGAAATAGCAATTATAGTTATGTTTTTAACTTCATCTCTCATTTTGGCTGGGTATAATTCCTTTTGAAGTGAAAACTTCTTTAGTCCCGTTGTGATTTGAGATTCGATGGAACGGAAGTAGAGTATTTGACACAAGATAGGTATCCGTAATTTTATTATTTACCATAAGAGATGGATGGAATGTCAAATTTTGTATGGAAACTTAAACAGCAGCGTCACAACGGGCGTAAGGGGAACTAAAAATCAGTACACATTTGACAATGTCATTTCGGACTCGCGAACTATTCTAATTCGATATTGGTTCATGCTACAGTGCTATTCTGTTACGTCTATTATGTCACGAGTGGATCCTATGTGGATCCGCGCAGTTCCGATATAAATCAGCGCGGATCCACTTTAACATAAGTTTTTAGAAAAACTGCTTATAGTTTCAGTTCGCGTTTTTCTTTTTTTCCCAAAGGTTGACTGGGAGAGAATGCTATTAGCATTATGTCCGCCTTTTGTACCATTCTATTGTATTTTGGTCAATAAAGTTTAAAATAAATAAATAAATAGTTAACGGGAGGCTGATTAAGACGAGATTTGCCAGTCGGATTAGTCGGGTCTGGTGATGCGATAGGTGAAGTATGCCGTTCGGACGGAGTTCCCGGCGCTGTGTGTGTCTCTGTAGCTGACGCCGGGACACGGTTCCCAACTTAGGGGTTTTGCCCCCAGATTTAGGGGCTAGATGTGTTAAAACGGACTTTTTTAGGGGCTGGAGTTTTTTGGGGGTTCTTTTAGGGGCTTATAACAAAACTTGCAATTAAATCGAAAAGCAAAGCGTGTGTTTTCTTTCAGTTTTGTGTGTAGAATGGAACGCACCACGATATGAAACGACTGAACTGACCGTGTGGCGGTTTGTTTCCTAATGCTGTAGGGATTAAAGTTCTTTGCCTATCACCAATGGTTAAATAATAAAACAACAACATAACAATCATGTTCGTTTTTTCATTCGTTCACACTTACGGCTGACCATTCATTTTTGTCATTCATTCAATAAAATAATTTACTGTAACTAAATAAGAAACGTTTTAATTTATGAGCAACGAAAGAATTTAGGTAATAAGTAGGTACATATAAAATTCTATATTTAGGGGATTTTAGGGGAATTTGCTTGAAAAATACCTAGGGGTAATTTTTGGGAAGGGTTGGTAACACTGCGCCCGGACCTCAAGGTTTCGTTGAGGGCACTCTGCGCCCAGCTGACGCTCATTCGCGTGTGTAGTAGCCGCGGCCTCCGCTCCCGTTCTCTCTTCGCCGCGCGTCGTCGCATGCGCAGGCGCAGTGGCGGTATCGATGGTTGCGGTTCGAAGTGTTATCTGGTACATTGTCCAAACTCCACATTGGCTAAACTGATTCACCATGAAACGGTCTTATTTGATTCTTATGGCGAATAACATATTCGTCCGCTTCTAGTACGGTCGTGGTCAGAAAATGTTTACCACCTTAAGATTCATAATTGCATGCACACATTTAGGTCACAAATTCTAAATGTCTATTTCATAATAATTTGATTGACCATAGATTATCTTTTTTGTAATGATATGACAATCAATCGCTCTAGGCAATGGACTGACTACTATCAAGGTTCGATATATATTTTTTTTAATTACTTCGTCTCACACTAGGATTTCCTTCTGTATCTATCGTAGGTGTAATTCAAACATCTAATCTCAAATGCACATTGCACATACGCCCAGACTAGGACAAATTTCTGTAGGCCATACAAAATATCTGTGCCATACGAGAATCCAATCAGCGACCCGTTGCGCAGTAGGCGACGACCTCTGCACTAGCCGTGACGTCAAACAAATATAGAAAACCATTGAAAAAACTAATATTTTAGTTTTTTAACTAAGAATATGAAGAAGTAATAAAATAGAAATTTCAAAAATCTTTATTTAGTATCTAGTATAACCTCCCTCTGCAGCTATGACGGCACGTAATCTATCTCGCATTGATGCAACAAGATGCGCGCATAGATCGGTCCCTCTAATATCATCCCATACTCGAGCGTAGTGTAATCTAAGATCATGAGGGTTCCTTTCATTTTGACAGTCCCAGCATTGAACCATAAGCCCCCATAAATTTTCAATAGGGTTTAAATCCGCAGACCGAGCGGGCCATTGAATGGGACGAATGCCACGGTGCATATTGAACCACGCCATAGTAGCACGGGCCGTGTGTATCCGTGCATTATCTTGAACATAAGTAATGGGCGGGAATTCTGTTGCAGGATACACTACGCGCACAGTAGGCAGCATCACTTCTGCCAAAAGCGACACATTATTAATGGCAGTAGCCGTATTCTCTAATGATGCCAGTTCTCCGACGCCGTCGAGGCTCATCCACATCCATAAGTTTACTGTTACCTGACTCGTTTTGAGTCACGATATGAGCTTCATCATACCGAGTTCGATTTTAGCGCCATAAAGTTAATCTTCCAATTTGGCTTGATTTAAAGGTTTTTACATCGGTAAATATAGCATTCGACCAAGCAAAATCATGATGTCGCGCAAAGTTAAGTCGGGCTGTTTTGTGATGAGGTTTCAGCTCCACTTTAATAGCAAGGTGTCTGTAGTGTAGTCAATACTCTAGACATAGCTTCGTACAGACGTTTGATCACCGCGTCCGTTTTGGTGTTCGAATTCATACAAAAACATTCTACCCATTTAGTATACGAATCAACCAATATTAAATACATTTTGTCTTTTAAGGGACCTAGAAAGTCTATATGTATCCTATAAAAGGGATGCGGCGGGGATGGCCAGGGCGAGAGGGCGGCGGTTTCGAATTCTAATTGTAACCCATTAATGTGAATACGTTCAACCATTGGCTTTGAAGCTGAATAACACCCAATGTGAAATAGACTTTTACCTTCACAATTTTCATCAACTGAGCTCTCCTCGACGTTTTTTACTATATTATGGGACGATTTATTTGTACACATACGCCGCAGATGACCTTCTATCACAATTTCGGCAATAAAACTTTTAAACCTACATTCCACTGATTTATGATTTTTGAACCCGCACACTGTACACTTGACACCACCTTAAGGTTTCTCTTCGATGACCTAGAACACCGCGCTCGCAGGTTTCGGGGGCGCGCTGCTCGAGGCGGCGCGCGCGCAGCACGCGCTCTCCGCCAGCTTCACCGCCTTCGCCAACATCAACTCCTTGATGTCCTGTGCTAATAGCTTATCGCGCTCGGGACCGCTCGCCATACCCATTACGAAGTGGTCTAGCAACGATTCCTCTAGGTCGCTAAAACTGCAATACGCCGCCAATCCTCTTAATCTCGCCGCCCACTGTGCGTGACCCTTGTCTGTCTTCTAGACTGCCGCATAAAAGGAACGTTCTGCGAAGCTGCAACGTTTCGGTATGAAATGCTTATCCAGCGTCTCCAAAATAGTAGCGTAGTCTATATTTTCTAAATTCCTTGGAAGTGCCAAATCACTAGCGAGCTTATACGTCGACTCACATAACGTTGTTAGTAATATCGCTTACTGCTTGATGCCTGCTTTCTCATCTTCCACAATGCTATTTGCTATGAACCATTGGTTTCAACGATGTTTAAATGACACCCAATCCTGGGAATTGTAGTCGAAAGTCGATAAAACTCCGAAGTACGTGGCCGCCATTTTGTCGTGCGCAGGTAAGTACTCTCGTCGCCACTGTTAAGTATGAGCGTGCGAATCAATAGACAGTTTATTGCGTACTGGTTTATTACAATTGACGTTGCGGGACGCAGCCCTCAAAAACCTGTATATGTAACATTATAACGTAATCTGCGATTTCTAAAAAATCATCATCATCATCATCAACAGCCCATCTTAGTCCACTGCTGGACATAGGCCTCTCCAAATGCACGCCACTCAGATCGATCTTGGGCTACTCGTATCCAGCTCCTGCCAGCCACCTTGCGCAAATCGTCACTCTATCGCGCCTGAGGACATCCTACACTACGTTTGCCTAGACGCGGTCTCCACTCCAGAACTCGTCTACCCCAACGGTAATCGGTTCTTTGACAAATATGGCCAGCCCACTGCCACTTCAACTTGCTAATCCGGTGGGCTATGTCGATAACTCTGGTTTTCTGTCGGATTACCTCATTTCTGATGCGATCCTTCAGAGATCGACGATGTCAGGACTTGACGTAACTTCCCAAACGCTGCCCAACCTAGCTGAATTCTTCTATTCACCTCGTCCTCAAAGTTGTTTCTACCTAACTACAATGTCTGCCCGAGGTACACATATTTTTGAACAACTTCGAGAACGGCACCGTGTATTGCAATCGGTTCCGGTAGAACATCTTCATTGAACATGACCTTGGTTTTATCCAAGTTCAACCGTAGGCCGATGCGTATAGAAGACTCAGCCAGGTCATTCAGCATCTGTTGTAGGTCCTGCAGGGTTTCTAAAAAATACCTGGCTGTTTACAGACAATTAATGGTAAATGTTCTTTAATATAAAAAAAAACACGGCATTATTTAATTTGTTGCAAAACAATGAATAATGATAGACGCAGTTAGTTTTGCCTTAACTTAAATAATGAGGGTAATTAGAAAATGAATAGTGATTATAAAAAATTAGTTATTAATAGTGTAACGGTCTGGTTCTGGATGACTAGTAGTCGCGTCAACAGGCGGCCAATATTAGTGTTAGGTGAATCGGCCAGTGTTTCACATCTGCCAGGCGTCCCGTGACGGCTTAAATTTAATTCTCTGTATGAGTATTGTTATTTATATATTAAAATTTATATCATGTGCATTAGACTTTAGAATTGGACTTAAAGAAGATAGTGGGATCCTAATAACATATCCAACTGCAGTTTGTATTTTGGCCTGTGAAGTAATGTCGGACTGTATAAGTGACTGTGTTGAAATATCCAAAAATAAAAATGAAGGAAATGTGGAGCTGAACATCAATAAGTGCATTAAGAGAATAACACAAATAGAAGGCTTTCAAGATTATAAAGTAGAGGTTCAAGACGTTACAACTAATGGTGGTAATTACATGGCAATCCTTCAAACGATAAATATCAAAGGAAAAACTGAAACAGCTTATAAAGAGATTAAACTTTTTGTAAAAAATAAAGTTCAGTCTTTACAAGACAGTATAATGCTATTGGACGAATTTTACAAACGAGAAGTTTTCTACTACAATGAACTATCAACGATATATGATGAACTACAAGACGAAGCGAATATACCAATTAACGAAAGATTGAGAAGGGTGAAAAGCTATAATGAGTCAAATTTGGAAGCGATCATCCTCGAGAATATGAGTGAAAAAGGCTTCACAACTCGAAACAGGCTCGAACCGATATCTCTTCAATTTGCTGAAATGTCCGTAAAACAACTTGCAAAATTTCATGCTTTATCTTTTGTCTTCAAATGTAAGAAACCAGAAAGTATGAAAGTTAAACCATTAAATTATTATCCAGTAAAAGTTACTACGGAATGGGAAGATTATTTAGTCAATGCATGTACTGCTGCAGCTAACTGTTTAGATAGTGATTTAAAAGTAAGATTAGAAAATTTTAAGGAAAAAATAGTGCAAGTATATAAAAACTATGTTGGGTTTCCGGCTGACAAATCAACTTGCTTGTGTCATGGTGATTTTAGAGCTAACAATATATTGGTGAAAGAAGAGGTATGTAAACAGGTTATGATTATGATATAAAAAAATATATTTGGTTCTTATTTAAGGGTTTCGTAGTCCCGACATGGTTCCGACATGGAACCCTTATAGTTTCGTCATGTCCGTCTACCGTCCCCGGTTTGGTTTGGAGACTATTAGCACTATAGAGCTATAATTTTGTGGAGATATATCTATCAATCACGCTGAATATTGTAGAATAAAATTTGTAGAATAAAATTTTGAAAAATATTTTTTAAGGAAGCCGCATCATCCCCTTCTCAGGGAATGATCGCTTCAGATGAAGCTTGTAAGGCCCTTCTTGTAAGACAGTCAGTAAGAGGCTGACATCACCTTGCAGCCCTCTGTAGGGTATCCATGAGGATTCCACACACACTGCCTTGGAGGAAACCAAAAACAATCGGCGGTTATCATTCGTATTTAAAAAAAATATCGCATTGATTTTGAGTTTGCGATTGAGTAATAAACTTACAAAATGTCACAATAATACCTATATGTGTATTATTCGTTGGATTTTCATTTTGTGTAATATTAGTAATGAATTGAAAATTGTTAGCCTTTTCATCAAGTATTTTTTTAATAATATTAACTATTACAGTTTTTAACAGGTATTTAATACTATCTTATCAGTAAAAAACTGTTTGTTTGCAGGATGGTGATATAAAAGATCTGATTGTTGTAGACTACCAAACGATACATTACGGGAGTCCAGTGACAGATTTTATTTACTTCATTTTCACTGGTACAGATCAGAAATTCAGAGGAGCCCACTTGGACGACATGAAGGAGTTATATTACGAAACACTGGAGAAGTTTATGGGCGAGTTTGGGGTAAAAGTCCACGAAGTCTATCCCAAGAAGCGATTTGAAAAGGAATACCGGGACTATTTGGACATAGGACTTACAATGTTCTTAGTTTTAGCACCGTTAATGCTGTGCTCCGCTGATGACGTACCCGATCTGCATAATGATTCTGTTTCTAAAATCAATTTCAGTTTTGACAACGCCGAATGTAATGAGCGACTGCGCGGCATAGTTGAGAATTTCACTCAATGGGGATATTTGTAAAAGTTACTTACCAGAAAATAGACTGTTCGAACTTTTTTAGGTGTTAGATAATTAAAGAGAACTTGGGATGCTTTAACAATATCTTTTTCGTCTTTAACTGTTGTTGACTTTACATTCTTATATAAAATAAAAGTATTATTATTACAAGTCCAGAATAATTGTTTTTACCGTTTAGTTAGAGATTTCCTATTGTATATAGTGTTTAGAACCTTAAATTGTCATTTTAATGAGGTATCATCTTATTAAATGTAGCTGGCGCCAGATGCTAAATTGGTGGATCCAGCATTTTTATACCTTCTTTAATTTCGCAAACCAATTTTACAAAATGCAACCTATTCGAGATAACTATGGCCCGTATTACAGAATGACCACTAAGTGTTGATATTTACTTGAGTACAGTTAGAAAGGGATGGCGCTATGTGGTATATATAGCGACATCACTTTCTAACTATGTTCAAAACATCTAGTCTTGTCTTTAAATACTGAGAATCTTTCTGTAATATGGGCCTATGAGGTGAACTCAGTATCACTAAATTATAAGCAAATATGGTGTACTCGGAAAAAATATCGAAAATTATGTTTTTATTAGTATGCATAGAAAGTTGGATATTTTTTATATATTTTATGTTGCTTCACCTGTGGAGTGTAAATATTGTAACATATAGGTTTTACCGCTGATAAAACCACAGATTGTTATTCAACAGCAAGTATAGAAATATAATAGAACTGAAAAATATTTATTTGGTAAGCAGGAAGATACTTATACTTACATATTAAAACTATTACAAACAATAAAAATAATTTCAACATTTTTTACTTTTTAGTTTCATTTCGGTTTTGAAGTTGGTTTCTTAAATGTATTTCATCCATTTTAGTGAAAATTATTTATTTATTTATTGCGTGTCACATTACATTTCATCATCATCAGCCTATTAATGTCCCCACTGCTGGGGCACAGGCCTTCCCTATGGATGGAATAGGGAGATTGGGCCATGACCCACCACGCGGGCCCAGTGCGGATTGGTGGGTGCTAACGACTGCAAATGCAGCCGGGACCAACGGCTTAACGTGCCTTCCGAAGCACGGAGGAGCTCGAGATAGTAAATTTTTGGTCACCCATCCAATGACCGACCACTGCGAAAGTTGCTTAACTTCAACGATCGCAGCCGAACGCGCTAGCCACCTGCGCCATCGAGCTCCTCAACATTACATTTAAGTCATGTAAATAATTAACAAAATGCTCTAAAAATAAAAACTTAATATTTCTTTTTAATGGAACCAAACAAGAGTTCCGTACGTAAACATGACCGTATAAGTATGTCTCCGCCGTATGTTTCTTTACTCATGTGGTCAGGTAGACTCCTGCGATTTTCAGAGATTCTTGGTAAAATATGTGGGAAATATTAGCCGCTATCACACAAAAATAATTACAAAGTCAGTTATTTTCCATACATGTAACGTAATTTTTAGACTTGATATATTGTGTGCGATCTAGCTTTGAAATATTGTACCAAGTAAGGAACTCATTGTCACGGTAATATTATCTATACAGTATTATGACTCGGCCCTGTCCTTGAAATAACTGCCTACGGCCGAGCGGGGCGTATCCACGCGGTAGGGCTGCCCGCCTACAGTATATTAATTTCATCTACATAATTGAGTTTCTTTCTAGTTTTGTGGTTGTAAATATTTTATTTCATATGTAAACTAAAAATTGTTGTGAACGAATTAGGAAGTGTTACATAAAATACATGTTATTTTAAGTGTAATATTTATAAAAAAAAATATAGATTTAAGACAGAAAAATATTTACGCCTCGACTGAGACGTACGAAAAGCTTTATCATTAAATTTAATAGTATATTAAATACGCATTCGTATAAAAAGTTTAATTATTGAAGTGTTCAAGCAACCAAAAACAGCACAATATCGACTATTGCACGCACAGACTGACTACGCTGCACAATCTTATTATTATTTAGATAATAATAAGAATTATAAAACGAATCGAAAAAGGAGAAAATACATAAAATTTAGCAATTTGTTATAGTGCCTACATTAAATGATTAAACATTGATTATAAAATCAAACCTATCCTTCATTATTTACCAAAGTATCCTTGAATCAGTTTACATTTAATAACTTACTATGCATAAATATTCATTGGCGCAAGTCTAAATTCCAAGTTCAACCCTAGCGCATACACGCTCCTGCTCAAGGTCACTGACGCTGGAACTCTCACGTACAGCGAGTGTCACCGCTGTGTCTGAAGTCCATAATCAGAAAATGACAAATTTTTATGAGGCTATCTCGGTAGTACACACTTGCCATTACAAAAAGATTTTTGAATCGAACAGACAGAAACTCGACAAGGAATCTATTTTCTCCTTGTATTAATATAAACATGGTCGTTAAGAACAAATATTATGTTTAATTAATCATTATCCGGTGACGCGCCCAGACCGCTCACCCCGCGGGCCCCTCTAACGGCCACTTCAAATTACACAAAATTACAACGCGCTAGCGTTGGGTATTGTTTACAAAAACACGTTATTTATGACTCTAGATAAGCGGGAATGAGCGTTCAATGGTGTTTTTTAAAAGGGAATGAATGAATCTTTGTTTCTGTCCAAGTCCTGATAAGATTTATAGTTTCTTGTAATAAATAATCGGCACTAAAGTAGGAAGCGAGTGAATTTTGACACATTGCTTCATTAAAATACGTGTATTTCAAAATTTAAAGAGATAACCTATAACTTTTAGACTTTTAAATGCATTATGAACATATTCTTAAGCAATATTTATAAAAAACACACATAGTCTTGGAGAAAAAGAAATGTTTTGGGGTCTTCAAAGTTCTATAAAAAGTTAAAGAGTATGAAATTTTTTATTGCTCAATTTAAAAAAAATATTTATCAATGAACTTGGCACTTACGACTGAAATATTGATATCGGCATTAAAAGTATTAAGTACTCACTAAAAGTATTATAAAAGTACTATTAAAAGTATTAAGTAGTAATATTAAAATATTTATTGAAAACAATTGACGAAATGAGTCAACATGAAACAACAGACCAGATGACGCTTACGGAAACTATCGAAATATATACTAAAATATTGACTTACCCCTTTTAAAATGAATTCCATTAATTACGTATAGAACTATTTGTTGAATAAAAACACAAAATAAAGCAAACACAACACTTTTTAATTCATTTAACACAAAATAAAAACAACGCACCTCACTCACGTACGTCGTCTTGAGACGACACGAAGCCGAGACTGGCCGACAGATGTCAACGGTTTTTTGTTTATTTGGTCGATGAATACGAATGCTGCTACAGTTGAAAGAGGTCGGGAATATAATACAGAATTATTAAGAAGTCAAGACAAGCCATTTTAAATTGTATTTCATAAGCAGGAAGAACTTTTAGAACGCACGGTCGTTTGGGTATTCCTCTACCCAACCTCGTTTTACTTCATTTTAGATTTGGGCAAAAAAGTCCCCATAGACGGATACAGGGTTATAATAGTGCTGTTATTACAAGATTATTAACACAATAGCTCCACTTACTGATAGCTAGTAATAACGAGAATTACCAGTATCAGTAATTATGACACTTGTAATTATTTGCAATTGTATATACTTGCTATTATAAACAAAGCTTGTCTTTGGTACATATTGGCTTTTAATGTTCCTTTATGATCAATGGGTAAATGTTGTGTAATTGTTTGTACTTCGAGAATTTGTGTAAATTGTTTAGTTATTCGACCCCGAGAAAAAGTCAATTCAACCGGTCTCCATATTTCAAAAAATAATTATACATTGGTGAAGAGCCCTTTCACTTTTTTTGCAAAAAATTGTAATTTTTGAGAGCCTCGTTTACCCCCCTAGAAAAGATTTTGACAATATCCAATAGAAGTAAATAGTAGATTTATTCTTCCTATTGTAAGTTAATGTAGAATATTTGCAAATACTATTTTCCTTTTTTTTGTACTGATCGTTCTACTGCAGCTAGATTACGGAAAAAAAAACGATAATATGCACAACTTCAAACGACTCAATAAGGTTCAATAAATTAGATCAAATAAATTACTACACTACTAAACAAAGCTTGTCTTTGGTACATATTGGCTTTACATTTTCCTTTATGATCAATGGGTAAATGTTGTGTAATTGTTTGCTCTTCGAGAATTTGTGTCAATTGTTTAGTTATTCGACCCAGAGAAAAAGTCAATTCGACCGCTTGCCATGTTTCAAAAGACGAAACATGAACTTAGAAAGAATCGAGTAAAGTTTTAATTAATGCGTGCTATCCTAGGAAATCCTTGTTCCATTCAGAACTTGGAAATGAAACACAACGATCAATTTTCTCGGTAACGAGGAACTCGATGGCGCAGGTGGTAAACGCGTTCGACTGCGATTGTTGAAGTTAAGCAACTTTCGCAGTGGTCGGTCCTAGGATGGGTGACCAAAAAAATTCCTTCTCGAGTTCCTCCGTCTTTCGGAAGACACGATAAGCCATTGACTCCGGCTGCATCTGCAGTGATTAGCACCCTCCAATCCGCACTGGGCCCGCGTGGTAGAAAGGCCTGTGCACTAGCACTGGGGACATTAATAGGCTGATGATCATAATCATAATCATAATCAAAATCATTTATTCAGTTTAGGCTGTTACAAGCACATATGAATGTCTAGAAGCTACGCCATCGGTTCGTAAATCTACGGCGGGAGACCTTGTACTGAGAAGAACCGGCAAGAAACTCAGCAAGGGCTGTTTTTTTTCTCCCTGTTTTATTATTTACAGAGTCGTCAAATTGAAAAATGACTTCAGAGGTGATTCATGAAGTCACTTTTCATTACATAATTATTTAATATACATTAATTGTTTACCTGCATTTTGATTGCTGTGTCATACAGATGATGATGATGATCAATTTTCTATTTATAAGATAGACTCAAAGATAGGTAAATATCATAAGAATAGGTTGGTTCGATCGTACAAATGTATAAACTTCAAAAGAATTTAACACAGAGCCAAAAACAGAACTTAGTAAAAAGACCTTACAATAATTTCTTCACATTCACTCTATAATTACTAGTTTTATTTTTATTTTAACTCACAAAAACGTGTTAGAAATACCACTAATTGCTCTAACATTAAGTATAAAGAATTTTAGAAATGTGAATAATCTATATAAATAAAACTCAAAGGTGACTGACTGACTGACATAGTGATCTATCAACGCACAGCCCAAACCACTGGACGGATCGGGCTGAAATTTGGCATGCAGGTAGATGTTATGACGTAGGCATCCGCTGAGAAAGGATTTTGATCAATTCTACCCCCAAGGGGATAAAATAGGGAATGAAGGTTTGTATAAAACTTTGTCAATTTTAAACCGATCGGGCTGAGACTTTGCATGCAGGTATAAGAAGAATCATAGATTAATGTCATTGTGTATAATACAAGCCTGAGAACAAAAACTGTAGTCTACACTTCAGCTCTACACCGAAGCGAAGCGAGGGCGGGCCACTAGTTTTCTATAAATATTTAATTAAACACTGTTTAATACATCCATACTAATATTATAAATGCGTAAGTGTCTCTGTCTGTCTGTATGCTCTTCATGCGTAAACCGCTGAATCGATTTGAATGAAATTTGATATTGAAATTAGTTGATTTGCGGAAAACGACCTAGGATATTTTTATCCCAAAAATAATCCAGTGAGGGGAGGAAAATGGTGGTAAAAGTTTGTATGGGAAACCAAATTTAACTTTTAAATTCATTATTATATATTATGTTTAGCTTTTCTGTGTTACCTTTGCAAAAGTTATTATAAAAATCTTCGCGCTTCATAACGCAACCGCTTTTATTTCCCATTTTACGACTACCACGGAGTTAACGAGACGATTTTCTTAGTGTCAATAATAAACTGCAATAACGGAGTGTGAAAACCTAATGAATTTCATCTCTCACTTTCGCTTGGTATAATTCTTTTTTTTTTATCATTTGAGAACTTTTATAAAGTAAGAAATGTTTCAAAACAAATTTTCGTTACCTATTTAAAACCTTTAAAGATTTAGTATACCGGTGACAAAAAAGTGAAAGTTTTTTTTATAATAATTTTATACCCTTTATGTCTTCAGCTAAATTCTCAGCAAAAAATAATTATACATTGGTTAAGAGCCCTTTCACATTTTTTGCAAAAAATCGTAATTTTTGAGCGCCTCGTTTACCCCCTTAGAAAAGATTTTGACAATTTCCAATAGAAGTAAACAGTAGATTTATTCTTCCTATTGTAAGTTAATGTAGAATATTTGCAAATACTATTTTCATTTTTTTACTGATCGTTCTACTGCAGCTAGTTTACAGAAAAACGATAATATGCATAACTTCAAACGACTCAATCTCTCAATAAGGTTCAATAAATTAGATCAAATTAATTACTACGACATCAAAAATATGTTTTTGTTGTAACATAATGTATTACACTTTTCATTTTCCATCTCATTAATTACTAAAAAAAACATCTAACTTCCGTGAGCTTTCCCAAAAAATAATGCAGGTTTACCTCGTATTTTGATATTGAGTTAAATAGAATTACTATCAAAAACTTTCACAAAACTAATCTAGCATCATTGAACTACTTAAATATGTATATATTTTTATAATTAGTTCATTAATAATTATTTTAGAAGACTCGAAACATCACCCGTAAAATGCAATATATACTAGTGCAAATCTACCTACGCGCCGATCAGTACGGCAGCGGCGCAATTTTGTAAAAGGGCTCTTAAGGTATGATGTCATATAATAACAGACAGACCTTAAATACTTATTCATTGATTTTATGCCATATTATCTTTACACAAATCCAATAATAAAATCAGCTGTTAAATACTTAAATAAAGATTCTCTTTCATTATACCTTTATAAATTGCAACCTATCAGTTTTCGAACTATTTCATTATTGAAAACAAAAGTAAGTATATTACGGGCATAAATCATTTTAACACCGAATACTTCGCTGAGAAAATCACAAAAATAATATCGTTACATTTACGCCTTATAGGCTGTTTATTATAGCACGTATTATCTTCAGCATAAGACCTATTTTCGTAAAAACGAACTTTTTGGCAAAACCCTTGAAAACATGTTTGTACAAACAGTTTTGATTGATATTATTGCTATTCAAAGATCGTCAGATTAGAGTGGGCTGGCCTAAGTGAATAAATTTATTATGGTAACATGCGCAAAAAGGGGATTCTTGTTTGCAAAAGGTAATATTTTCCCAAAAGAGCGATCTCGTTTTCGAACAGACCAATAATGATTGGGGGGGCGACATTATTATTCCCACTTTCGAACCTTACCTTCTTGTTGTCGTTATAAGTACAAAGAAGCCGGAATATTTTTTGTTGTCGTAGCTTTTTCCGTTTTACGCAGAAAAAAAACTGTGATAGAGACTCCTCGGTATCTATCTTTTATGTAGGAGAAGAAAGTCTCAAGGAAATTATGTAATACCAATATTTTACAAGGGCAATTTGATAGCGTATAAGCAGTGCAATTTTTCGATGTTAGCTTACAATTCAAATAGACCTTGGCTATTCTTACACAGTTCGCAGTTTTTATTGATGGTCGACCCTCTTTTTAGGCTATTGGGTATTGAAACTTGAGAATACAAGAGGATTATACCTAAAAGCTTAGCTTATGGTGTGATGAGATAAAAGTAGAGACTGCAACTTCAATATACAATTCCTTTAATAAGCATGTTGCCAAATTTTATTTGGAGTCAGTGTAATATTGGGTATCTCCTTATAGTATCTATTTTAAAGTATATATGATATATTTTGAAAAGTTGATAGTGATAAAAACATTAAATATAATAAAATAAGTAATTTTCTCGGATCGGATCTCGGTGGTGCTGGATGGCGCCAGTGGTTAGCGCGTTCGGCTACTATCGTTGAAGATGAGCAACTTTCGCAGTGGTCGGTCGTTGGATGGGTGACTAAAAATTTACTATCTCGAGCTCCTCCGTGCTTTCTTCGTGCATCTGCAGTCGTTAGCACCCACCAACCCGCACTGAGCCCACGTGGGTCATGGCCCAATCTCCCTAATCTATCCATAGGGAAGGCCTGTGCCCCAGCAGTGAGGATATTAATAGGCTGATGATGATGATGAAGTATTTTAAAAGTAAATTAAAGCTAATTTGTTGACCACTGTTCAATAATATTACAAGTATAGATATAAATTCCTAATATAACGTTAATAGCTTACCTAATATTTATATCGATTAAGGCTTCTTGAAAAAGCATTTTTAATCACCACACCTCATTTGGTAAACTTATCATCCTGAATAAACGTAATCTGGCTACCAATTTCGAAATTGGCTGATGCAGTACCTATTCGTGATTAAAATCACGTACGACAGAATTGTTCTCCTTTAAAAGTTTTATAAAAAGTCTTGGACAACACATCATCATCATCATCATCAACAGCCTATCATAGTCCACTGCTGGACATAGGCCTCCCCAAATGCACAGCACTCAGATCGATCTTGAGCTACTCGCATCCAGCTCCTGCCAGCCACTTTGCGCAGGACAACACATGTCTATCTTTTAAGGGTGACCCATAACCTTTTTTCTCAAAACCTCGACCAAGACCTTGAGCCGGAAATGAGCAGGGAATAATCCCAGATACCTTCTTTTCGCTCTCCAGATGGTAGAACGATGCGTACATAAGGCATTTGTCCAGACATTAAATAAAAGGGGGACCTCTAGTAAGATAGGTATAAAAGTAAAAACTATTTCTATAGAAACACAGCGGTAATTAATTAAAAGCCACAAAGTGCACAAAGTACAATATAATACATCTATTCTGTACAAGAAGGTAAAGCTAGTAGCAGTAACTACACGAAAAGAAGACAAAAAGGAGATTGGGAAACCACCTCAAGTTCTTTTATTTCTTTAACACGTAACAGTTTTCGAGTAGATTATTTTCTAGTAGATCCTTTTACAAATATCCCCACTGTGTGAAATCCTCAACTATGCCACGCAGTCGCTCCTTACATACGGCGTTGTCAAAATTCAAATTGATTTTAGAAACAGTATCCTTTTGCAGATCGGGTACGTCATCATCAGAGCACAGCATAAACGGTGCTCCAATCAAGAAGATTGTAAGACCTATGACTAAAGAATCCCGGTATTCCTGTTCAAATCGCTTCTTAGGATAGACATCATGGACTTCTACCCCAAACTCGCCCATAAATCTCTCCAATGTTTCGTAATATAACTCCTTCAACTCGTCCAAGTAGGCTCGTCTGAATTTCTGATCTGAACCAGTGAAAACGAAGTAAATGAAATCTGTTACTGGACTCCCGTAACGCATCGTTTGGTAGTCGACAACAATCAGATCTTTTATATCACCTTCCTGCAAACAAACGGTATTTCACATATAACATAGTATTAAAAAAGTACTTTAAAAAATCAAACAATATATATTATTAAAAATACTCGATAAAAAGGGTAGGTAACAATTTTTAATTCAGCAGTAATATTACACACAACGACAATGTTAAATTAATAAAAAAATCATTTTTTTTTTAACTTTGGCTGCACTCGGTGGTGTGAAGTATTTTTAAGGTTATAATAAATATTTCCAGCACTCACACCAATTAGTGTAGCCCCAAAGTAAGCACTGTAGGCTTCTGTTATGGGATACTAGGATAACGGATAGAATACATATGTAAGTAAATTTATATACAAATACATATTAATCATCAATGTCTGGGTTACAAATGCTCGTATTCATTACACAAACATTTGACCCCACCGGGATTCGAGCCGGGGACCCTGCGTATAAAACACTTGGCCACGGTGGCCCTCCACCAGGTTGGTAATGTGGTAAAGTCTTAACTGTTGACGACAGAAAACGACAAAAAACACGTCGTATTAAAAACAAATAAATATAAATGACAACTCTGAGCGCGGCCCTTATGTGCAGTCTATTTTATTCATATTTTTAAATAAAACATAGCAAGCTGATTGTTGTTAATTTATTTAGAAAATATTTTTGATGTCTGTTGCGAGATCCATAATATGATGGAAAATAGCTATAAGCTTGAAAGTGACCATAAGCTTAATTTAACTTAATTAACATTTGGGAGAGATCTGCTTGATTTCCAGATTTTGGTTCAATCTTAAGGTTCCAACGTATTTATAATATTTTACTTCTATCTTTTTCTCGTAAAATATTTTTTTGTTATTCCTTTACAATATAAGCTTCGATGTTTCATGGTATGATAGGTGCCCCGCGAACAGTGCCGTCTTTGACCTATTGGAGGCCCTGGGCATATTCGGATAATGGGGCCCCATGACCCCCGTTTGGTGATCTAACAGGAACTAGGTGGGCCCCTATCGATCGCGGGGCCCTGGACACTTGCCCAAAGTGCCCACTGGGAAAGAGGGGTGTGCCCGCGAAGCTACACGTTTTAGTGTAATAAGAGGTTTAATACTGGGACATTACTACAATGCACATATCACGTCAGTTTACTATTTTAATTTACTTTTCTAACTAACGCTACTGTTCTCATAAAGGAACCAAATATAACTATTTCAATACCATAATCATGTCAAGTTTACATACCTCTTCTTTCATCAATATATTATTTGCTCTAAAATCACCATGACACAAGCATGTTGATTTGTCAGCCGGATAACTAACGAAATTTTTATATACTTGCACTATATTTTCCTTAAAATTTTCCAATCTTACTTTTAAATCACTATCTAAACAGTTGGCTGCAGTAGCACATGCGGTGACTACATAATCTTCCCATTCCTTATTAACTTTTACTGGATAAATAAATGGTTTAACTTTCATCTCATAATATTCTGGCCTCTTAGATTTCAAGACAAAAGATAAAGCATGAAATTTTGCTAGTTGCTTTATGGACATTTCAGCAAATTGAAGAGATATCGGTTCGAGCCTGTTTGGAGTTGTGTAGCCTTTTTTGCTCAAATTCTCGAGAATGATGGCTTCCGAATTTGACTCATTATAGCTTTTCGCCTTTCTCAATCTTTCGTCAACTGGAATATTCACTTCGTCTTGTAGTTCATCATATATCGTTGATAGTTCATTGTAGTAGAAAACTTCTCGTTCGTAGAATTCATCCAATGGAAGTATATTGTCTTGTACAGACTGAAATTTATTTTTTACGAAAATACTAATTTCCTTAGTGGCTGTTTCGGTTTTTCCTTTGATATCTATCGTTTGTAGGATTGCCAAGTAATTTCCACCGTTTGTTGAAATATCTTGGACCTCTACTTTATAGTCTTGAAAGCCTTCTATTTGTGCTATTCGCTTAATGCACTTGTTGATGATCGGTGCCACATTTCTATCATTTTTATGATTGGATATTTCAAAACAGTCACTTATACAGTCCGACATAACTTCAAAGGCTAAAATACAAGTTGCGATGAGATGTGTTATCTCGATCCCTCGATCTTATATGAGTACAATTCTAAAGTGTAATGCACATGACATTAAATTTAATATTATTAAGAACAATATTCGTACCTACAGCGAAAAAAAATATTGAAGTCAAGAGAAATTTAAAAATAAATAACCTAAAATGATTATTTATGACTTTTTTATTAATTACATTTATAAATTCCTTCAATTAATAATTAGTATTATTACAGATTAGACACATATAAATTAATATCATGAATAATCATATTTGGTGATAAAATTCATACTATAGGATACTTATTTGCACTGATTTTCTTTTTTTATTTTGTCCAGTATAATAATATTATATTTCAAATTCTCGTCTTAAAAGCAGGTTTTAATTTTTTTTTTTTTTGTTAAAATAGGTACTTATCTTACTTTATTTTATTTCCTACTTATAAAATATATTCGGTCGGTCGGTGGCTGAACGATAGCTACTGTCTTAAATAAAGTACTTATATTGTAAGGTTAAAGCCAAAATAAAAAACAAGTATTTTTTCTAACTTAATTTGTTTTCGAAGAAAATGAAGACACCTTTTGCTTCACCCCTCTTTCGAGGAGAGCACTTTTACAAGAAACCGAATGTAGCTCATTTTACGTTATTCATAGTCAGAGATTTATCACCCAAAAATTACCTACGCTCGTTGGGTATTACCCCAACATAAGTAACTGATGCATAACATAAAATAGACTTCTATATAAAGTCCACACCTATTAAAGTATTATAGGCCTGGATAAAGAAAGAATATATATATATAGTTCATTGTGCCTTGACCCTAATGTTGGTCGCCTGTTGACGCGACGCGACTACTAAAACGCCAGTCATTTAGAAATATACAGTACAGAAATTATAACGCATTTTGTATAATCACAAATCATCCTGTAATTACTAGAGATGGGCCGACTATACTATTTGGCGACTTACCAAGTCGCTAATAACTAGCCGACTAATCGATTTTCAAACTGCCGAGTAGTCAACCGACTATTATTGCCGATCATTCTAATACCTATCTTAGGAAGGTGTTCGGAATATTTCAGCTTGCTCACGCACGACACGAGTCATCGCTGAGCGTGTTGTGACGTGTTTTGTACAACTATAACTATACATTTTCATCCGCTTTGACAATATTTAGATGAGGTTGAAGGAACCACTCGACCTCACCTTACACACACCGCAGAACTTTGAAAGAGGAGATCACATAACGTGACCTGACGTCACACTTTTTTGTGGGTACAGCAGGTGTTCATCGATTTATAAGACGTTATCACGTCAACACATCTTTATGGACTTCTTTAACACTCGCTAACATTTAAGATCTTGGCAGCAGACGGGACTCGAACCCGCACCCTTCACAATCCGGGCGTTTTTTTTTCTAGTTATATTTTCTATAGATTTAAACATCAAGCAGTTACATGCTTTAAAATAAAAATTATAACTAATTTAAGATCTTACTCAATTAATACTTACTTCCCATTGCTATTTTGTCATGTACCATGTTCATTGAAAAAATAAATAAATAAAATATCTGAATAACTGACAGATTATTAAGTTCCTGATTCCTATAATGTATAACCTTATTTTTTGCATTAAAAAATAATTTAAGACTGTTTGTAACTTCAGATATTTACATATTCTAGGTACCGTTTAGATATTAGAAACAAGCATAAGTTTTGAGTTATTTAATTTTTTTATGTACCGACTACAATCGGCATGTTTTTCCGAATAGTCGTATTTCTCGACTAGTCGGCCCATCTCTAATAATTACCTTAATTACTTGAGTAAAGACACTACTTACTATACGTCCATTATAATTCATTATCTTGCATCAAATAAAAAAATCCCGTGTTTTGTTTTATTTTGATAAGATAAAACAATCACTATCATGTTTTTTGTAAACAGTTCTTCTTTTAGAATTGTAGTTCTTTATTATAATAAAAATCGTATTTCGTTAAATATTTGCATATGTACTTGTTTAAATATGTATTACCAAAAGCACTGCTTGTTAATACGTTAACTTTACCAATTTACATTAAAATTTTCGTTAAATAACTTTGTTTAATTCTGGTAAAGACAGGTAACGTGACCGAAAAATTTTAAGGTATTACAAAATAACACTAACTCAGTGAAATTCTGTAAGAGCAAACTCAATTTTCACCGCGGATTTAAAGGACACCCGGCATTTTGTGCCAAAGTTGTATATTTTTTTAATTTCTTTATCTGTGTTTCATAATTGGGTAACGTAGTCTGGCAATATTTGTCATCAGCAGCTAGCTGTCAATGTCAAATACGTAGGTTTGTCATCAAATGGGGTTCTATATCAAAAAATATTAATCATTAAATAACTTCTTTCCACGATTCACTAAAAATAAGGCAAAAGTAGTTTTATGTAGCAAATAATTTTGGCTTTATTTTGAGACCAAATTCAACTATATACAAGTTTAGCATTTTTTCTATGAAAAGTGCCGGGTCTCCTTTGTTTTCGAATCACAGTCGGTTTGACAGAATAGCACGGCAGAGGTACCCTGCGCGTAGTCTATGAGTTCCCCCCGTGGGGAGATGCCATCCGCCTGGAATACCTCTAGACATTCGCCAATTCTCGGCTTGAGGTCCCCTTGGGATCGTTGCCGACAGCTTTGTCCTATTTTACAAGCCTTCTTTATATAAACCTTTTTTGCTTTCATGACTTTTGTGTTTTATTTTATTCCCGTCCTTATATTATATCCATATTGATGTCAAGTGGTCCTAAATATAAGTATTTATGTAATTAGGTGAGCGGTTTTTCTTTTATTTTTTTATTAAAACACAGTCGACTGCTCCAGTTATCACTTACAATGTTATTGTTATAATACATATTAATAAATGATAATTCACCATTTAATTATGAACTTAAAATTCATCCACTTAGCAGATGTTTTGTTTCTCTATTTTTGGACGAAAAAGTTCACAGACGCTTGTCTTAGCGAATAGCACTCACGCCGGCAGTGGTCCCAACCGGACCGGTCAGACATATTGCGTCCGGGAGCTGTGTCATTGTGTAACAAACAAAATGTTAGCTTACTCAAATTAAAATAGGCACTCGAACCCGCACCCTTCACAATCCGGGCGAATGCACTGACCAATTATGCTACCGCGGCCCTCACGGACCGCGTCAAAACTCCGCGTCTTCTCGGAAGAATTTCGACGCGGGCCGTGAGAGCCGCGGTAGCATAATTGGTCAGTGCATTCGCCCGGATTGCGAAGGGTGCGGGTTCGAGTCCCGTTTGCTGCCTAGACCGCGTGGATTTTTTTCTAGTTATATTTTCTTTAGATTTAAACATCAAGCAGTTACATGCTTTAAAATAATAAAAATTATAATTAAAATAGGCAATTAAAAAATATCATTATTTTAAGTTTTAATAATAACCCACATAAAATTACCTATCGCCACAGTCACATAAAGGCACCGGGTCATGACCTACAACACTACCAGTGTCATTGGGTATTGTTAGGTATTAATCCAAGTACAGCTGGGGCCAAAGATTACCGTTAACGAGATATAGGTACAATGCGATTCAACAAAATTACTCTTTGGATTGAACTAAGAATACGACCGACAGGGCGCCATATTGTGACGCCATAGCTGTCAATGGAAGCCAGTTAGGTAGAGTGAGCAAAAAACTTTTTCTTTAATAAAACTTATTTACCAAAATTAAGTGAGAAATAATATCACATTTTTAATAATATTATTTATTAAAACTAACAGATTAATCATGAAAATATTAATTAGAATGGAGTTCTTTAATTCCGCTCATCTTTGCACTACCGTTGGAGTAGTCATCATCATCACTGATGCTTTCGGCTATAAATTAAAATATCGATTATTGTAGGTTTTAAAACGACATCTTTATTTAAAATAAAAACGTTTTTTTTTACCTGTATTTATAATAAAACAAGTTCTTGTATTTCCCTTTTCCAGTACTCATTTTCTATACGTTTCATATATATTTCCTTCTTTTGTTTACAAATGTTTGGTATTTATTATAAGGTTAGCTCAGTGCTAAAAAGTGCTTCAAGATTTTTTGCAAACCGTACTTTTCAAGCGATATTTGAGAGATGGAGGTCATTGGCTTTCCTATTCTTATTTGAATCGCATAGTACAGATCGCGGCACAGAACTCTAGCGCTAAACAAAACGCGGAGGGGATAGCTGCGCATGGGTACGACTGGAGAACCAATCGGCGCAACGCACGCCCACCCGCGCACCTCGTTTCCCCCCAAGACATCTTAATTTTTACTTCTGCGCAGTAACGCTCAGCGCTACAGTTTCATGCCTGAACTTATACCACCACATTAGCTTACGCCAACGCAGTAACTCATATGTTGTTGGCTTATTGCGCAGAAAAACAAGACGCTTCCTGTAAGCTGTCCAAGAGGACGCGGTTTAATTTCCATGGCTACTCAATTGTCAACTTGACAGCAGTGCCGATTCTCCATGCGCAAACTCATTTTAATGAAGTACGCTATTAAACTTGCAGCGCACAGTTCGCAAAGTTCACCGAAGTTGACCGAATGCGAGAAGGTCCTTAATGGGTTTGCCAACCCCTTAGATTCTGAAAATTAATCTGTAAGGGATAACGCTGGGCGAATAATACAAATTAGACGCTTTTTATTTTAAATGAAAATCTTTGTATGATTGTATATACAGGCTGGAAACATAAGACCGCGGTTGGAGAAAAAGTACCCTCAATATTGGTGAAGGCCAATTTTTCTGAAAAATTTACGCATTTAAAGATTTTTACGAAACCACCTCTGCTTGAGTCGGGAATGCTGAACCGGTATAATGTGAAAAAAAAACAATAAAGATCAATAAATTCCTTTTAACAACATAGTTACTTAAATTAATGAAAGATCAAGAATTATATTTTTATTTATTGTTTTAAGTGTAGTAAGTGCGGAGACCCAAAATCCCTTACATAGGACAGCCTATAAATTATCCAAAATAATATGGCATGAACCAATAAAAAACCATGTCACTTAAATTTGAAAATATTCACGAATCGACCTTGGGCACAGAATACATCATATTACATCAACCTTAGTTATCTTGTAATATGACTTGCTACCATCAAACTATCTATAATGTTAACAGCGTTTAAGCCTGTTATATATGTTAACGATGTTGACTTACCAAAATTTCCATTCCACAGATAAAATAAGTACACATAAAATATTTAAAAAATAAGTTTACCAACCTAACACTTCGCGTGTTACATAATCATCATTACTCCAGCATTATGTAAAACAAATGTAAACATACTATTTTTCTATCAACTAACAAAACTAACACTGATAAAAACGTAATGTTTATCAAAAAACTGGGTGTGGTTTTATGACACCAAAATGGAAGTAAAACTTTTAAAGTGTTTTGAATTGCTTCAAATTTAATAAAAGTCGTAGGTGTTTAACTGAAAATTTTCAGGTCATTATTCGATTTAGGTAGGTTTTGAATCCAATCATCTTCATTGGGGATGGTCGTTTTCGCGACCACACCCACACTCCCGGCGTGCTGCGGGGGGACTGCGGTCCTCAGAATGTACGCCGGGTGACCGGTGCAGAAGTATTATCTGGGTTTTAGTGCTCTATTCTGTGCATTAGGTAGGCCCTGCTCATTTCACCCGGCCTAAGGGCTGGCTGAAATGAGCAGGGACGATTCCCACATACCTTCCTCGTCATTCGTAAGGCATTTCCCAGACAAAAAAAGGTTTTAAATCCAATAAAAGTTTGAACATACGACAAACTACTCGTACCTTACATCACGTCTGGCCTTTCCTTGTATATGACATTGGTTAAACCGTCCTGGCAAAAATTGATACAAATATCATAAATATATATATATATTTATATTATAGCGAGGTAGGAAAATGACTCTACCCCACCTGATGTTAAGTGGTGATACAGTCCAAACGCGAAGATAGTTGGTACAGCAGATATAAACTGCTACACCAGCCATTCTCACCTTGCCGGTCTGCAAAAATACTTCTTCACACCTCTCTTAAAGGACCCCAGATTATAGGAAGGTGCACACGTGCGCGGATAAAGAATTAGGAATATTGAAGTAAGTTGATTAAGCTGATCCCTCAACTCTATTTAGCGATCAGAATAGTTTTGGAATGTAGTTAAAGAAGCCATCGGAACTCTATAAACACCACAGAGCCACCAAAATGCATGTCTTGGGACAAACCCAGGATGAAATAGTCACATCACTTCCAAAAAACAATCGTGTTACAGCCATTGAGTTAAGACTTCAGTTCTATTAACAATTTATGGAGGAGCTCGATGGCGCAAGTGATCAGCGCGTTCGGCTGCGATCGTTGAACTTAAGCAATTTTAGCAGTGGTCAGTCATTGGATGGGTGACCAAAAATTACTATCTCGAGCTCCTTCGTGCTTCGAAAGGCACGTTAAGCCGTTGGTCCCGGCTACATCTGCAGTCGTTAGCACCCGCCAATCTGCACTAGTGTTGTGTGGTCACGTCATGACCCAATCTCCCTATTCCATCCATTGAGTAGGTCTGTGTCCCAGTAGTGGGGACATAGGACAATAGGCTAATGATGATGAACAATTTATGGCAGGTGCACAGGTTAATAGAGTCGGGCTGGGTTCCGCAAGGAAAAAGGAGAACCGTGACATACTAAAATCTTTCCTACAACAAGACGAAAATGATAACTATTTAATTCATTACGTGAACTACACAATGAATTTAGAAATGTAAAGTGATTGGTTAACCATAGGTGAGTTCTGTATTCCGTTAGCTCTAAAGTGGCGCACCTTACTACATGGTTGGTCTCATACTCTACTAAAATTCTATATCAATACCTTCCAAATGACCCTCTCAGACCAGAGTAACCTAGTAAGATGGGGGAAAGCCTCTGAAAAATCCTGATATACTTGTGGTGAGGCATTAGGTACTTCTTCTTCTTATAGTGCCTTTCCATTACTGAAGGGTGGCCGTCATTTCGGAGAACTTCCCTTTGCCCTTCGCGAGGTGAAAGAGATCAGCGGCGTCGATGCCGATCCACGCGCGGATATTACGCGTCCATGACAATTTTTTTCGGCCTACTAGTCTTCTCCCAGCTACCTTGCCGATTATCAGTAGTTGCAGCAGTAAGTATCTATTATTTCGCATAATGTGACCTAGATACCCAACTTTTTGACGGTCTACATAATTTGACATTTCTGACCAGTTCGACGGAGAACTTCATCATGGGTCACTCTATAAGTCCAACTAATGGCCAACATACGTCTGTAGGCCCACATTTCAAAGGCTACATTACAACGTACTATACATTGCCACATTACATTTCCTGAAGTGCTCTTTGATCGTCAAAGCCTCGCATCCGTAAAGAAGTATGAGCCATTAAAAAACTACAAAAGGCGCACACGTAGAAACATTTTTAATCAGCGACTGAAGAGTACCTTTTTTATAGTATTAAATGCTATTTCCATACGGGCTATTTCCATGCGAGTCTTAATCTCGATGTTACTCTCCCAGATATCGTTCAGCCACGTGCTGAGATACTTGTACTTGCGCACCCGTTCCAATTGTGCACCTGCCACAGTAATATAAAGGTCAGCTATCAAATTTGATTCACTGTATTCTTTAAATTTTAATTGTATGTTTGTTATTTTTCTTATTATGGTAATTCTTGACGATGATTAGGATAATTATACTTATTTTTTAAGCTGAAGGAATTATCTACATTTCGTCAGTATTACCTTGGTCTACCGGTTTACACCTTGATAATACTGCAAATGCATTAGGGGTTGTATTGGAATTATAAATGTTGTACATGCCTATAATAATAGTGTGCACATCAGGTAGATATTTTTCTGAATTTTGTTTTTGTTTGCTGAATGTGTATGCTGCCAGCGTAGCTAATAAATAGATACTGCCAGGTATATATTGGCAGGTTGCAAGGTGTTCCTTGATAGGGGTCAATACTCACGTTACCATGAGAGAGTACTTGAAGTCATACGAGAAACAGCAAGTCTAGCAGTGGCTTTAGCCCAAAAAGGATTAACCACAAATAAATAACAAATTAACTATATATAGGAAGGCTCACTTGTTAACTCTAAAAGCAAGCCTTTCTCAATACTAGTTACTGTACCTGACTTGACTATTTAGTGGCGCCTAGAATTAGTGGCGATGAAATTAAATTTTCACTTAAATAAACCTAACAAAATGGAATGGAACTTTTCCGAGTACATACGGTCGTTTCTATTTTATTTTAAGTAAGTTCACCTCTTAATAATCGCGAATAATAATTTAAAAGATCTTTGAAAACCATAAATGCGGTTTACTTACTGCCAATTTAGAATTTGCAACCAGATTAAGTTTACATAAGATAATACCTAAATTAAGTAAGTATTAAAAAACCTTTTCTATTAAAGAAGCTCTAAACGATATAAATAAGATATTTAAGGTAAAATTTAATGGAAACACGGCGGTAATGAATTGAAAGGCACAAAGTATTATGTAATACGTCTATTCTGTACAGGAAAGTAAAGTTAGTAGTAAATACACGAACAGGAGACAAAAAGAGATTGGGAACTATCCCAAGTTCTTTCGACGAAGTCATTTAATAGTAGATCCTATTACAAATATCCCCAATGTGTGAAATCCTCAACCATGCCACGCAATCGCTCCTTACATTCAGCATTGTCAAAATTAAAATTGATCTGAGTTACAGAATCTTTTTGCAGGTCGGGTATGTCATCAGCGGAGCACAGCAGAAACGGTGCTATAATCAAGAATAATGTAAGTCCTATATCCAAATAGTCCCGGTATTCCTGTTCAAATTGCTTCTTGGGATAGACATCCTGGACTTCTATACCAAACTCACTAAGAAACTTCTTCAATGTTTCGTTATATAATTCCTTCAACTCGTCCAAGTGGGCTCGTCTGAATTCCTGATCTGAACCAGTGAAGACGAAGTATATGAAATCTGTTACTGGACTACCGTAACGCATCGTTTGGTAGTCGACAACAATCAGATCTTTGATATCACCTTCCTGCAAACAAACTTTATTTTACTGCTACGATAGTAACAAAGAGTCAAATTTTTGATAATATTTGTGTAACACTTAATAATAAATATAAAAGTTTTCAATTCAGCACTAATACCCCGTTGTGTTAAACCTACTGGGTTTACGCACTAAGTACACCTTAGCCGTATTATTTATGTCAAAAAAAAACCTTTAAATATGTGTACACTTGTCACTCTCTAATCTTTTCTACTGCATGCCACTCCGGTATTTATAAATATGTAAATACAATCAACATATGTTTTTTCCCCCCAAATAAGTATATCACATACAATGAAGATGTTAAATAAATTTAATATCAAAACCAAATTTTTTAACTTTTGCTACATCACACGGAGATTACATTTTTTTTTTGTTTTTTTATTGCATAGTTTACCAGGCGTGTCGCGTTGCTTCACCATTTTTGTGAATTTAGAGGTTAATACTAAGACATTACTACAATGCGTATTTATACAATGTCAGTTTGCTATTACAATTTACATATTTCTAATTGACGATACTGTTGTCAAAGAAGGAACTAAATATAACTTTAATACCATATTCATGTCATGTTTACATACCTCTTCTTTCATCAATATATTATTAGCTCTAAAATCACCATGACACAAGCATGTTGATTTGTCAGACGGAGAACCATAGTAATTTCTATATACTTGCACTATCTTTTCCTTAAATTTTTCCAATCTTACTTTTAAATCATCATCTAGACAGTTAGCTGCAGCAGTACATGCATTGACTACATAATCTTCCCATTCCGTACAAACTTCTACAGGATAAGTGAATGGTTTTATTTTCTTCTCATAATACTCTGGTTTCTTACATTTCAAGACAAAAGATAGAGCATGAAATTTTGCAAGTTGTTTTACGGACATTTCAGCAAATTGAAGTGATATTGGCTCGAGCCTGTGTGGAGTTGTGTAGCCTTTTTTAATCAAATTTTCGAGAATGATTGCTTCAAAGTTTGACTCATTATAGCTTTTCACCATTCTTAATCTTTCGTCAACTGGAATATTCGCTTCATCTTGTAGTTCATCATATATCTTTGCTAGTTCATTGTAGAAGAAAAGTTCTCGTTCGTAAATTGTATCCACTTGAATATTATTGTCTTGTACAGACTTAAATTTGTTTTTTACGAAAAGACTAATTTCTTTATAAGCTGTTTCAGTTTTTCCTTTGATATTTATCGTTTGAAGGCTTGCCATGAAATTACCACCATTAGTTGAAATATCTTGAACCTCTACTTTATAGTCTTGAAAACCTTCTTTTTGTGCTATTTGCTTAATGCACTTGTTGATAATCGGTGCCACATGTCCATCATTTTTATGATTGGATTTTTCAACACAGTCACTTATACAGTCCGACATTACTTCAAAGGCTAAAATACCAATTGCAATGAGATGTGTTATCTGGATCCCGCTATCTTATATAAGTACCATTCTAAAGTGTAATGCACACGTTATTAAATTTTAAAGTAATAACAAAATACTTGTACAGTGAAAAAATATTTTGAAGTCAAAGATTTGTCACACTTATGGTAATATCATTAATAATTATATAATGTATGCTGATAAAAATCATTTCATACAGTAACTATTTGCATGAAACTTCTTTATAGGATTCCGTTCTCAAAGGGTAAAAATGAAACCCTATTGCTGGCACTCTGTCGTCTGTCTGTTTGTCACGGGTCTCTATATTCTAAACGGAATAATTTATATTTTAAATTAAGATATTTAGTTAAAAATTAATTTTTTTTCATGGCCCATGGATAATATATATATTTTCTTTTTTACCCCCGCATGTGACACATAATTGCCTTGTGCTCGTTAAGTAGGATATTTTTATTTTTAATAGCATTGAAAAAGTTGTAATTTCTCGACCATTTTTGTTACTGGACTAGCTCAAATCGGAACTAGTTAGGAATGTCAAATTTTGGTATATGATGTCCCATATTATTATGCTGTTTTTAATAACAAATAGTGAAAACGCCGATTCAAAATGTAGGTAGTTTATAAGTTATATTTTTTATTATTTTAAAGCATGTAACTGCATCATCATTGTGAGTTACCTATAATGCGAAGAGATGGCGCTGCCTTGCAGCTTAAGAATGGCTAGAAGAATTTCGAAACGGTCCGTGAGGGCCGCGGTAGCATAATTGGTCAGGCCCGGATTGCGAAGGGTGTGGGTTCGAGTCCCGTCTGCTGCCTGGTCCGCGTCGAATTTTTTCTAGTTATATTTTCTTTAGTTTATAAGTTGTTCCGACTACTACTACTTATAATAATAAGGTAGGTAGGTATATTATTAGGGTGAAGCCAAAAGTTAACAAAGAAACAAGTATTTTTACTAAGTTGTGAACTTTCAACGAAACTTAAGAACCTTTTGCATTGCCTCTTATCCCAAAATAAAACTTTTACTAGAAACTAAGTGCATTTCATTTTACGCGATTCATTTTCACAGAATTGCGATTTAAAAATAACGAGTTTACTTAATTTGATTGCAAATTTTATACAGTAAGTAATTTTTAAGTTATTGTTATTACATGTATATATTATATGAAGATTATGACAATACAGTTACTATAATCGTTTATTATAACACCAAATGAAACTGTTCCCCTAGCACGAACCAATATCCAATTCGGATAGTTTGCAAGACTGAAATGTCATTATGAAATTTTGTATGGAAACTTGAACAGCAGTGCCACAACGGACGTAACGAGAACTAAAAATCATTACACATTTGACAATGACATTTCGTACTCGCAAACGTTACGAATTCAGTATTAGTTCTTGCCCAGGGTACTAATGAAAATAAAATTTGACATTCAATTCCACATCCATCAGAACTAGTATTACAGATGTAGATAATAGTTATTTATTATACAAGAGTGGAAAGTTCCTTTTTAACCGCGTGCTCGATTTGGATGACCGAGCAAGCGAAGGATTCTAAAGTTGAATCACGAGCGCAGCGAGTGATTCTAAATTAGAATCCTGAGCGTCAGCGAGGGAAACAAACGAGCACAAGGTGAAAAATCTTTCCACTCGAGTGCAATACGTAACTTTTCATCCCACCTCAGCGAGGAAATGACAAAATGAAAAAGAAAACAATTTATAATGACAAAATATTTTTATTTCAATTAAAACACATTAAGATAATCTATAAATTGAAGAAAATAATAAGAAGTAGAAAATAATTAAGAAATATTAAATGTAACGTTGCTACAGTTACTTATGTTAAGTTTAATATTTTTGTTAGGTAATGTTATGTTGGTGTTTGTGAATTGTGCGCTGTTTTGTGGTAAACTACTCGTATCAGTAATTTTAAATAGTTGTGCCGATTCATTGGATTCTATTGGCGTAAATGTTGGCGAGAGAGGGCTATTGTTTCCAATCTTATGGGGGCTCATTTTAGATGTAGAAGGGCGAGACCAAGAATCTGACAGAGGTTCTTTCAGCGTTATGGCCTCCACGATACTATTACAAATTTTTGATTTACTTTGGATTGAATCCTCTATGTATCCCTCTACAACCGAATTAGACTTCCAGCCTCCATGGCGCTTAAGCGATAGAAGATCAGCCCCTGATTCGGCCAAAAGTGTGGCTGAGGTTCTTCTAAAACAGTGACCGGTGTATAACGGGGGTTCTAAAAGTCCGAGAAAAGTTGCTATTTCTCGTGGAATACTGCCAATTTTATTCTGACCCATAGGTTGTCGGATACACTTTCCGTTGCGATATTGTAGAAAAAATCGTTCAATTGGGGTGTTAGAAGGACGTAAAGCTTGATATTTCTGAACAATGTTTACATATTCCTTGCGAAAAACGAAGTTGCGGTCTTTTTTTGTCTTGGTATTTAGTACATTAATTAATAGCAATTCATCAGAATTATGAGAATATTTTGATACGTTATTGACATTAAGTAGTGTAAGTTCATTTGTTCGACATGCTCCGGTTATACCAATAATAAGAACAACCTGTAACAAAAGAAGTATTTATAATCGTAAATAAATTAATCAAATTAAAAATATTGTAAGTACTATGTACAATTTTATCAACAACAAAAAATTACACGTATTGACTTACTTTTGCCGCTAAATATACGGAATCAGGTGCTTCATTAATAAACTTTGCAATTTCAGATGCTGTGAAAACCTTCGATTTTTTTTGGTTTATAACCAGATGAGGCTCTTTTTAAAAATGCCACTAATTTATGATAGGTGTCGATATGAACGTCTTTCTTCATCTTAATTGTTAATTTTAGCATTGAATACGTACTCCATAGCGTGCTTGCTTTCTTGGTCTCAGATAATTCTATAAAATATGCCAGCAAAACGTTTTCGGAGAAAGTTTTTGCTCCTTTAGCTAGTCGCCACATGTTAAATATATCGTACTGTTTCAAATACTTCTCTCGTGATTGCTGAGGGAGAAGGCTCATTTGCGCATTATTAACTGTTTCAGTTAACTCAGTTGGCGTTAGATAAACTTCATCGTCGCTAATGTCACTCATTTTAGTTGATTTTTTTGTACAGTTTTTAGGTTATGTTAATTATATTAAGCAATAAAACGTGAAAAACTAGAATGGCGCGAAGCACGCAAATAAAACAAAGAAACCAAGAAGGTTCCAAATTTAAATTTTTTCACAATTTAAAAAGTTCTAATCATAAATTTGGCACCATAGAGGTTACATTAAATAGGTTTAATGACGTTTTGAATTTACAATTATATTGAGTACTCATTATATGTGATGTTCTAAATTCAAATCTACTTTGCCGCTCAAGCGAATAAAATAGAATTTTCCAGCCAGATTTCGAAGCGCAAAATTACACTTTCCGAGGTGGTGGGATGAAAAAAATTTGCTCATTATGCCTTAACCCTAACGTTGGTCGCCTGTTGACGCGACTACTAAAATGCCAGTCATATAGAAATAGACCGTACACAAATTAAAACGCATTTTGTATCATCACTAATCACTGTGTACACCTTAATTACTTAAGTAAAGACACTACTTACTATGCGTCCATCATTATTCATTATCTCGCACCAAATTAAATGATCCCGTGTTTTATTTTATTTTGATAAGATAAAACAGACACTATCAGTTTTTTTTTTGTAAACAGTCAGTTCTTTATGAGAATAAAAATAGTATTTCCTTAAATAATTACAAACTTGTGAAAATATTTACTAATAGAAGTGCCATACGGATTCACCCGCGTTAATTTGATTAGAAAGTTATGTTTTTATTTTATTTTTTAAGCATTTAACTGCTAGATGTTTAAATCTAAAGAAAAGTTTACTAGAAAAAAATCCACGCGGACCAGGCAGCGGACAGGACTCGAACCCGCACCCTTCGCTATCCGGGCGAATGCACTGACCATTATGCTACCACGGCCCTATTCGCCGCGTCGAAATTTTCCTAGCCTTAAGCTGCAAGGTAGCGCCATCTCTTCGCATTGTAGGTAATCCACAATGTCAAATGAATACTTTTTCAAGTATTAAACATTTGAAAGAAGAAATAGCAATTATAGTTATGGTTTTAATTTATTTTTTAAGCATTTAACTGCTAGATGTTTTAATCTAAAGAAAAGTTTACTAGAAAAAAAATCCACGCCGTCCGCTGCCTGGTCCGCGTGGATTTTTTTTTTTCTAGTAAACTTTTCTTTAGATTGAGGAGAAAGGTTAGTGAATCAACCTTAAGTTAGACATAATTATGCTATCGCAGACTAAAAGGAGAACTATTCCTTCATACGTATATGTATCGTTTAGAGCCATTAAGAACTGTAACTGGTCGCCGGCAACTCGGTCGATGGCGACTGTGACTTACTATCGTTTAAATAGGTGTTGGTGTCGCCCGGTCGACTCGACGACTCACCACGTAGTGGCGACTCATAAGCGACTGCCGGTCGCCAGCGACCAATAGAAGCACGACTTCAAATGGAAACATTCACATTATGAGCGACTGTCGTATTGACCGGACGTGGAAGTCGAATGTTCTTGGAATACTATCGCTCGGCTTGGTTTCCGGCCCTAGTTGCCTATGTTTTGGTCGCCGAGAGACCGAGTCGCCGGCGACCTGTCGACAGTGCGTAACGGCTCTTATGCAACCCACTCAACGGAATCACAAAATAGATTGTACAGAAGGTAAACTCATGTTTATTTCACTTTTCATACCTACGCTCTGCGGTCGCGCTGTGGATTATCAGAATGAATCAGTAAAAGTTTAAATATCAATCTACTCGTATCTAAGTAGGAAATTGGAAGAATCGAAAATAAATAAATCAATGTTAGTTGCCAACAACCTTGTCCCATTTTACCAGTCTACTTTTTTATAATGCTTTTTTACTTTAATGACTTTTGTGATTTATTGTGTTACTCCTGTCCTTATATTGATGTCATA